CACACACACATACACACACTTTTCATCTCTTCCTGCACAAGGCCTTATGATTCGTTAGTTCTGCACCAGACAGGAAGCATCCTTTAAAGAAGTTTCCTGTGGCCTAAACTACCACCCCACCCTTTTCACATTTTTAAATCGTCTGTCCCTATCCTAACCCATTCCACCTCAACCCTCGCCTACACATTCACATAAAACTGGTCTAATTTCGACATTCCTGACAAAACAAACGGCATTTAATTATACTGTACAATTATTATGATTATTAATAATTATCCTTTGGTGAAACTGTGATTATAAAATGATCGTACATGTCTTATACCCCCGTTGACGAATCTAAAATCATTCATGGAGTGGGTTACTTCGACTCTCTATCTCTGACTGCAAAGTCAGCCCAGACCAAGTGAGACACAACACCCGATCAGAGATTGGAGACACAGGGTAATATTCGCTTTCCCACCCACCTAAGAATCGAACTCACGTCTTTCTCGAGCGAGGTCAATAGGCAAACCATTACACTACATCGTGGGGTCTGTTAGTGGCATCGTGAAGGCAAGATGTGAAGACCCACCTAATACGGGGTCATCTGGATCGGTCCGATCGCCCGACTCGATCGCCTGAAGCTGAAAACAAGCACGCTTGTTTTTTAGGCAATCGAGTGGAGCGATCGGCCCGATCGGCCGATCCCATCCGTAGTGGGCACCCGCGTATAACAATACCACTAGCCACTTTGCCACAAAGAACTTTTTTTTGTTGCTACAACCACTCTCATTCCAGTGATTTTGAAAAGGGGGAAAAGGGGGGGGGGGGCAAGTTAAGTTTGCCATTGTGTATAAGTTATAATCTCTGGCTAGATAGACTAGGAATCAAGAAAGTAATCATCACATTAACGTTCCATTAATTACAATTTAGAATTATGTACATCACAAGAATACAAAATTGTATACAATCGGTCAATAGGACTAATAGGAGAGACCAGTAACATATACGCACACGCACAAGCATACACAGTATCACTAACACTCACATACATACACCTATCTACTCACCCATATACACACCAATGCACACACATGCAGATACACACACAAACACACACATACACACAGAAACACACACACACACATACACACACACACACACACAAACATACACTCACAAAAAACATGTATACACACGCACGCTTACGTGTCATACACTTA